AAAAGCATAGGGATGTTATAGATTCTTCATTTCTCCTATTTTTTTTTTAAGACATAACCTAGGATTCGAACCCGCACTATCGCCCTGCATGCATTCCCCCGATACATTTCGCATACATACTCATTCCTCCAAGTTGCTTTACGTTATGATCTTGCATTTGAACGCCCTATTTGAATATTGTGGCCAGCTGTCTTTGATGGTACGGTACGGGACAGGTACGGGATAGCGCCAGGCATGCCGACGGCACAAACAAACACGGAATTAAAGCTGTGTGGACCCTGGCTAGCGACAGACGTTACTGAAGTAACGTCTTTTGCATAGCTACGGGAATTAGAAGAATACTTTGTATCTCTCACGGGGCAACTAGCAGTTCACCTGGCTTATCTTTTGTTTTGTTCAACACTCTCTGATCAGCACTGGTGAACAGTGTGGATCGTGTCCTAACACTGCTGACCTGAAAGCAAAAGCGTATCTATTATTGCACAGATGCCGGATTCGGATGAAAATGACAACAATAGCGGAATTCATAGTTTTAATTTTTAAAGTAAATTTATGCCATTTTGTCTAAGTTTGTAATAGAGGTGGCGGACTAATGAATCCCACTGGGTTGTGCTCTTAAAAATACAACTTGTTCTGTGTCTGTGCAATACAAGTCATCAACGACCTACCACCGTCGACATCCGTTTTACAAACTACTGTGACAACATCAGTGCAAACTACAAGTGCACCAACAACCCAGCCCAGCTATCTGCCGGATTCAAACCTCACAGGATCCAGCACAGGATCCAGCCTCACAGGATCCAGCCTGAGTGAAACACCCAGCAACAGTGTGCACAGTGATGTGGGAGGTCCAAATGTGTCCCAAAAGCCACCACAAAATACCGGTAAGGCCAGCAATACCATGTTCATCAGGGGCGTAGGAAGCAGTTTAATATTGGTGCGGCGAAATTGTGAGAGAGGGGGTGCGGGGGGATTTTTTTGAAAATTGGTCCTAAAAGGCCATATTTTAATGCTACAGAATAATATGAGAAATAAGAATATGCATGCTGATGATACACCGCATTGTCGATGTAAAACATGGTACCTGTACAAGAGTCGACAAGCCATCAACAAGGTTGAAATGTAAAAAAATTCGAAAATTATTGGTCCGGCGACCACCGGGCCTGCCGGACCGGTTCCTACGCCCATGTTCATGTACTGTGTGTATTGCTCCTGTACATGTATAGATATACCTGTGTGTGTGTTTGTGTGTGTGCGTGTATGTTTGTGTGTGTGTGTGTATAGCTTTATTTTACTTCACCAGAAGCACAGGCAAAATCTGCCTTCTCACTGGGCGTGTTGCCACAGTTCTCGCAAAATGATGAAGATAGTGGTAATGATAAGAAAAGGAGGAAGAGGATATACAATCATGAACAAAGCACGAAGAGAAGACGGAAATAAATCAAAGAGGGAGTACTACAAGTAACGAATTTGAATTTGATGAGGTGTTTCATGAAAATGATGCAACGGACGCAAAGGTTCGAGGGTTGAGGGAATGTTGACATTTATGAGTCTTTGACACCTTCCGAGAGGGTAAGAGAGTTTAAGATATCGTTTGTAATTGCTTTCTTAAATGCAGAAGGAATTGGGATGGAGTGGACATCAGGCAGCAAGCAGTTCCAGTACACACTACCAATGAACTGAACAGTGGATCGACCGGAAGGACCCGGCAAAACGGGACACGAAGCAGATGTGAAGCCTGACCACGCGTGGCAAGACCATTGACCAAATCAAAGAAAGTGCTGAAAACACTACTGGTCATTTCAGCACCAAGACATCTGTGAACGAACAATAATAGTTTTTGCTGATATAATATATAAGCAAAAACTAGGGGTCAAACGGGTGTACCGGTTACCCGGGTACCCGCCCGTTAATCCCAGGTACCGTTAGTAAAAGGGTACCCGTTTGTAAAAAAAAAAAAAAAAAAAAAAAAAAAAAAAAAAAAAAGGAGCTTGGATTTCGATGATCCTACTCGTACTAGTACTCTTTTCCTTTCTCCTGTGCATTCCCGCTTTCGACTTTGTCAGGCAGGAGCAGGCTGAAAGACAGTCGTTCTCTCCACTCTAGTGCAAGTAAAACTCCTCGTACTGGACGTTTTTGATTGCGATGTGAGAAAATGCAAGACTTGAAACTCGTTCAAGGTGGCAGCTGCTGAGTTACTAGAAACTTAGTAGAAAGTTATGATGGTTCTCCGACATCATTATGTATGGCAGCTGAGTTACTAGAAAGTTACGATGGTTCTCCGACATCGAACCTGCCACAGTACTTGAAGATGAACTAGTGTCACCAGGCTGAGTGACCAGTCGGAGTGTCACACACGGCGATGTCCGTAGGTGGTAGCTATGATACTCATGGTTGTAGTTTGTTCCTTCATTTTCAATCGACGAGCTTGGTTTAGTTGAAAAGTAGTTCGAAATATTGCATACAAGATTACCGGGATTTGTGAAGATTCGTTTCACGAGTTCAACGAGCTAGCACTAGCAGCTAGCTGGCCAGCAGCAAATCAGCTGTGTCAGGCACCCCAGCTAGCTATGGGTGCGAACATCTTCTGAATACGAAGAGTACCAGTTCTCTGCGAACATAGCAAAATAGGATCGCGCGAGATCACGGAAGTTTTGCTAAACTACTCTGTCCTTGCATGGCTTGAATCACATCCATCTGCAGTTGATTTGCGTACATGTATCAAAATACATGTAGCACTAGGACCATGTACGATTGTAACTGCCTGTGAAGTTGTGTACATGGGCAAATGTACGGATGACATTCATTTGGAACTTCATTGCCATAATAAAATTATGAGACACGAATCATAATGACTGTGGTATCAAAATACAACCTGAGAATATACAAATTTAAATCATGATTTATGTGAGAAATGCGCAAAAAATTAATATGGCTGCTAAAGAGTACCCGTTAACCCGCCCGTTAAAAAATTACCCGTTCGCTAGTTAAAGGTACACCCGTTTGACCCCTAGCAAAAACTATTATTGTTCGGATCTGAGTAAGAGTAAGAAGATCAAGTCGACAGAGAAAAGGGGATGATGGTGTGGTAGACGGCACCTGGAAAACGGCGCGAACTCCGGATTTTAATATCTTGACCAAGCGATCCAACAACTGCAATCTGAGGCAATGATAGAAAGCGGTAGACGCATAGCAGAGATGGCTGCTGATCATACTAATGAACCAAGGCCGTCTAGACGGCTGATAAACTCAGGGCACGACCATGGCGCCAGAGCTGACCAATGGTCTGGGCAGTTCGCTTAGTCACACTGTCCACATGCTGCTTCTATGACAGTTCACAATCAATGACCACCCCAAGGTACTTGGCAGTAGGGGTAGCCTTGAGTACGTCCTGACCACAGCATACATCAGGAATGGCAGCTCTCTGTCCACGGGGCTGAATGACCATGACTTGCGTATTCTTCCCATTGAGCAACAGCCCAATTTCAGCAAGCAAACATGATACAAAATTGGCAGCTGCCCTAAACAGTCAGCACACAGTGTTGAGATCGCTGTCGGAGAACTCTACTATGATGTCATCAGCAAACTCTTGGTGGATGACTTGTTCAGGCAGGATGGCATCTAAGTGGCGGGTGTATAGAGCAAACAGCAAGGGACCAAGTACACTGCCCTGTGGCACACCACGGGAACAATGCACTGACGAGGAGACTGCGTTTTCAATTTGAACTTGTTGACTTCTTGCAGTCAGATAGCTACACTGAACCATTGTAGAGCACTGGAGGATATACCAAGTAGTGGTCAAACGAATGTGCTAAACAACGAATCGAACCTTCTCTGAATGTTCCTAACGAACACCGAACGAATGTCGCCCGTTCCATGATTAAGAAATCAGTTAGAAATTATAGCTGCCGACCAGTATGTTACACTAAAAGGCACCGAAATCATAAGCGAAATTGAACACTGCAAGTCTGCAACAGAGACTGTAGAGTGTAGATGCCATGACTCATTATGAAGTGGACAGTGATGGTGATGTACCCCTCCATTCGTCTGCTTGTCCACAGGTCTGTAGTCAGCGACATGAAGCTGGCCTTTTCAAGGTTCTCCACCACTGCACCAGCAACTTCAGGACCGCGACGTGCTTCCGCTGAATTAGCTTTGTCACTTGAGTCGCAGACGGGACCGTGTAGCCAGGCTCGAGGTAGTTCATGAGCGAAAGGAACCCCGCACCAGTGACTACGCTCACAGCCTAGGTCGAAAATCTCTGCATACAAATTCCACCAATCGGTAGTCGCATCCAGAGGATCTAGCCGATGGCACTTTCTTTGCCTTGAAGAAAGCAGTTATTCCTCCGTCCTTTTTTCGGTTTCGCCCCTGCGCCATCCAAGTCGACATGGTGAACGTCCTTCAGATGGTTACGTAAATTCGTTGTTCCGCCATGGTATGCCAAGTCTTTCGGCGGCTTGCACCGAGTACACGTAGCAATATTGTCCTGAGAATAAAGATAATATTGTCAGCCGTTTTCTCTATTCCGAAATCCCATACGGCAGAGCGCCTACTCTTCTCGGCCATGACGAACGTTGGGTGGATTTGATGAAGAAAGACTCGACGACGGCTCTCAGCAATAATAATTATTTCAGACAGACCGTCGAGTGTTGTCACGACAAAAATCGCCTGTGCCTGTGGCATGTGGCACTGCACTTCCAGTTTCACAGCCGGGCGCGATGCACTGCATGCGCATGCAACGTTCAACCCAGACTAGACTTCACTGCTCAAACTAGACCTACTGTACGATCTTGAGGAAGCAATCAGTTGAGCACCAGTGCAGTGCACGCAGTCCACCCAGTCCACAACACAGTTCACATGGTTCACGCGCGCACCGACTCGAGTCTGGGCCAGTTCGTGATCGGACCACAAACATCCGGCCTTGTAGATCTACATGATTGTACAACTATCGTTACTTACTTTCACACCTCGCGTCAGCTACTAGTACTAGTTACATGACATGGCATGCATACATTATGTACATGACACAGTCATCTCTTGAAGACAGCGCGGCACGGCTTCAAAAGTAGACGTGTGTACGTGCTTGCATCCATGAAAATAGCTGCTATGAGTGCAGAGTTCACAGTTTTGTGAGTTACGATATTCGTTTGGGCAGTCAACTTGACATTCGAATGTTGACTCGAGAACGAACGTTCGAAGCTTCTCAGCATTCGTTTGACCACTAATACCAAGGGAGTGCAACTCAGAGATGAGTCGTTCATGCTGCACCCGATCAAAGGCTTTACTCATATTTACCATGATGATGCCTGTGAAGCGGCGATTTGGTACTGTTCCAGTGGACAGTGATCCATTAATGATATCCGTGAGTGGCCCAGCAAGGCTATCGGCACATTGCCTCAATACAAAACCAGGAACGCAATCACTGCCCGTGGCCTTCACGGGATTTATGCACTTCAGACAAGCTTTCACATCACTCACAGGCACCAGGTCAAATTGCAGAAAGCTAGACGCTGACATTGGTCCACTTGGGGTTTTTAGTGTGGTTGGTTGGTCTGGGTCGTGCACAACATCACCACGGGTTTTCCTTAGGTCATCGATGCCGGCTTGAGGTTCTTGACGCTGCTTAGCACGGCCTATGATGATGTTCATAACTGACCGCAACTTTCTCTGGTGACGAGTTGCACACTGATTCATGAAGTAGGCATTACGTAGACGCTGATCCAGTTTTCTTGCAGTAGAGCGGGCCTGACGGTGGAGCTCACGCAGATCCACATTGCCTTTGTCACTCATCCACCGGCGATGGAAGTGGTTTCGCTCACGAACCACGGCAACAGCTCCTGTGTTAGCCAGGGGCAAGGACGCTTCTCCTGTTGGCGCTGATGGATCAATGGTGCATGCACATCCAGGGTAGATATGATAGAGGTGGTAAGAGTCTGCACAGCATTGTCAGGAGTTCCATTAAAAGTACAATTCGCTAGGTGATGGTTCAAGTCCTCATTTAATGCGTTCCAATTTATCCGATGGAGTCGCCTACCTTGGCGTTTGGCGGCTGGGTGTCCAGAATATGCCTCTCTCGTGCTAAAGCCAGGCATATGGGCCAAGATAGCAAAATGATCACTCATATCAACATAGACAGTGCGACATAGACCCTCTATGGGAACGTTAGACAAGAACAGGTCGATACCAGACAGTGTGTGTGTGTGTGTGTGTGTGTGTGTGTGTGTGTGTGTGTGTGTGCGTGTGCGTGTGCGTGCGTGCGTGCGTGTGTGCGTGTGTGTGTGTGTGTGTGTATGTGTGTGTGTATGTGTGTGTATGTTTGTGTGTATTTCCTGACCTACCCAGAAGGAGGCATGGATCTGAAACATAGTGTGGATGGTAGCATGCTAAAACCGAGGAGACCAGACCACGGTCACATACCTGTATCTACCCTGCTGCAATCCAACATGTTACCAGACCACAGTCAAATACCCGTATCTACCCTGCTGCAATCCAACATGTTCTTGACAAACACGTAGCACATAGTACAGAGACTGATCTGAACACAAAACTCAATCGTTTCAGTCAAGTATTCAATTGCATGTGCCTGCTGCTTTGAGTACAGTAGTATTACATAGCTGTGATTCATTTCATACTGATCATTGGTTACATAGCTGTGATTCATGTCATACTCAGGATCATTGGTTTATTCCTGTGTATGTACATCACAAAAGCAATGCAACAAGATGCTATCAAGATGCTATAAATATAGCTGCGCTTCGGTCCTCTGAGCTGTGCTGAGGAGCTCTAACAGAGCGAAACAGTTGCTGTCCACAGATTTGAGTAACAGTTATTCTTCAGTTGAGGGACTAAGTAATTAGTTTAACAGCGACAAAAGAGAAAAAATGGTTTATATGCCTCAAAAAAATTGTCTTCACGTCCAGTATTCATTAAACTAATGCTTGACTTTTATGTACCACGGTTTCAGGCTCGAGCACATCCAGTTCAGGCGACTTCACTTTCATAGCAATAGGAGCAGCAATGACGGTGCTTGCTCTGGTGGTCATCATTGTTGTTCTTGCTCTGGAGTGTAGACGAAGGAAACGGTGAGGTATATTACCCCAGGCTTGACGAGCTGAAACTGATCAGCAAATTCTCAAGAACTTCTAGATGTGTTCTTGGTAAAGATGTGTGTTCTGCAACTAGTTACAAGAAGACTTTAGCTACACTGTTACCGTGGCCATTTGCAGCACTGGAAAGTGGACCACATGATTCTGTCTGCATTTTCACAGCATTTTTCTTGCATCGACGAGAATCAGTCAAGTCCTCGCTTCATTGAAAACACTATGGGATTGGAATGTAATAACACTGGGGAGAAGGAAAAACAGACTTCAGGCTTTTGAACAACATCTCGGAAGTTTCACCTGTATACTGTCAAGCCTTATCATCAGGTGAAATACAGCGGGCAAAGTCAAATGAACAAGGACAATAGATTAAGGTGGCAGACTACCAAAAAATTCGCTGAAAAATCGAATCTGTAAATTCATATCGAGTGCTACGTCAGTTGAAAGAGCATGAATAGCTGCAAATTCTCTGAAAATTGTGTCCCGATCTGACAAGCCGTTCAAGAGTTATGGTCGAAAATGTGCCCTTGCAAGGAAAGATTTTTTTGTTGCACGCTGTCATTTGTTGGCAGCACTGTATTTGAATGTGAGCAGACCGTGCGCAACTTGTTGTATCATGGAAACACGCGAAAGTGTGCAGAATTTTGCTCCAAGTCCAAGAAAGTCCAAAAAATCACGTTAAAAAACCACGTATTGGGCTGCACGGCGAAGCCCGCCGCCGTGCAGCAGGACTTTTGCCAGCACCCTCGTGACGTTGCAGATATGTGGCTTGATTATTGTAGTTGACGTTGATTTAGTGACTTTGGCAAGTTTGAGTCGTGTCAAGAAGTCAGGTAGGATTCAGTACTAGGCAGTAGTGAAACGTGAGTGGTAGTCTTTGCCGGTTTCTAAGGGTATCCTGGATTTGGTGTGCAGCGCTGTGGAAGTGGCTTGCTGTGGACGTCCCAGCACTGGATGTTGTATCAAAGGTACGACCTCGTAGCACGTGCTAAACCTAAAAAAATTCAAAAATTGACTTGGGTCTGTGGGAGTCTGTGAGAGAACGCCCACTCGTTCCGTTGTGACAGATTCCAGGGCCACGTTGAGGGGCCCTACCCCACCACCCATGGCTGCTTCTGGACTTGTTTTAGGTTTGGGTCCCGCGCACGGACAGAATGGGCACGAAAATGTGAAAAAAATTGTAAATGCATTTGTTTGGCTCCTGGGTGGCTCGCACACCGTGGCACTATGCCAGAAATTTGAGTTTTTCCGGCCTGGAAAGCCTGTCAGTGAGGCGCAAGAACTTGTAAATCATGTCCTGAGGGCCAGCATAGTGGCAGGAGTGTGTGGTCAACATTTCACTCAAATCCATTGAGAAACACCAAAGTTACGGTCAATTGAATGCCATATGAAATTGATGGGTAGGCTGCCCCCTTAAGTACAGCAGAGAGGTGATAGAAACACTCAGCGCAAGGAAGAAGAGCTGAAACAACAGCAACGAATGCGTGACCCATGCACATAGACAGAAATGGAGGAAAGGTGCAAGTGTGAGGAGACAAGATTTCGAGATGGGGTTCAAGAGCCTGAATTGTTTCCTTCTTCTCAGTGGTATTGCATTCTTGTCTCCAAGGAAACTGGATTAGAGTGTGCAATGTGAACACAGAATTTGACTGGACTGTTTGCATCTATACTTGTACTTGTATCAGCAAGCCGCATGCAATGGTGAAAAATTACATTTGGCCTTACTACTAGTCAAAGCAAAGCCACTGCATTTACTGCACAGCCCAACACTCGTAGGAATATTGTTGAGCAATCCCTGGAACTGTTATAGTCATTGGGCCGACTTTTCATCAGCTAGCAAGCACAAAGTCATTCGCCAACAATCATAGTGTCTTCATTTGCCAGGACTGTATCCGGTCAGCTGCCAGACCTGTATTCCGGAACTTCACATGTACAATGTTTTTCATTCGATTTCAACCCATGATAGTAGGTAACAGAGAACCGTGCGACCAAGTCTAGTAGGCAATGCTGTGCATTAGTTCACATGTGCATATTTGAAGTTGTACGTATGAAATTGTGCCTGTTTGGCTATCATGGCTTGTACTTCAAAGTAACTGGCTTGCAAAACTCATTTGTGCTGTATGGTGAAAGAGCTGATCTTCATGCTGCCTCTATGTACGAGCCTCATTGGTGTGTGGATCTGTACTACCTGAAGGAATCATCAACCAGTGATCTATGTTCTTATTCTCCCTATCCGCAGAAAGGACACGGGTGCCAACGGCAATGGGAGCGCACCACAACGGCCATGCCTATATGTGAACACTGGTGAGTGTGGTGTGTGGTGTGTGTGTGGTGAGTGTGGTGTGTGGTGTGTGTGGTGTGTGTGATGTGTGGTGTGTGTGGTGTGTGTGGTGTGTGTGGTGTGTGGTGTGTGTGGTGTGTGTGGTGTGTGTGGTGTGTGGTGTGTGTGGTGTGTGTGGTGTGTGTGGTGTGTGGTGTGTGTGGTGTGTGTGGTGTGTGGTGTGTGGTGTGTGGTGTGTGGTGTGTGGTGTGAGTGGTGTGTGGTGTGTGGTGTGTGGTGTGTGGTGTGTGTGGTGTGTGGTGTGTGGTGTGTGGTGTGTGGTGTGTGGTGTGAGTGGTGTGTGGTGTGTGTGGTGTGTGGTGTGTGGTGTGTGGTGTGTGTGGTGTGTGGTGTGTGGTGTGTGTAGTGTGTGGTGTGTGGTGAGTGGTGAGTGTAGTGTGTGGTGAGTGGTGTGTGGTGTGTGGTGAGTGGTGTGTGGTGTGTGGTGTGTGTAGTGTGTGGTGTGTGGTGTGTGGTGTGTGTAGTGTGTGGTGTGTGGTGTGTGGTGTGTGTAGTGTGTGGTGTGTGGTGTGTGGTGTGTAGTGTGTGGTGAGTGGTGAGTAGTGTGTGGTGTGTGGTGAGTGTAGTGTGTAGAACCTCTGTGACCACTGGGCTTGCTATTAGGGGTGAAAGGATTAGTTCGAATATTCGTTCGAAAATTTCAAACGAGCGAGTATTCGAAATTTTGCACCCGATCATTTTTGTTTTTTTTGTTTTTTTTGGTATTGACATTCTATTTTTCAAAAACTTTCGTTGCACCGCTCGTCGACGTCCACTGGTACATGGTATGCATGCGTTATGCATGCCTTTGAGTCAGTATTTTATGACTTGGACAATGGGATCACCTCGGCAAGTAACGTTAGTTATGAAAGTACAGATGAAAATCGTTACTTTCAATACACTCTGTACAAGACGTTGGCGACTTTTGTTCTATGTTCACAGATAATTTCTTCCCAATTGGTCGAGAACTCACAAATCTAGAGCTTTTGATTTTTGATAAAATACTCGAAATAATCGGAATATTATGAACGAGTGATCGATTGGTCAAAATAGATACTCGTTTCACCCCTACTTGCTATGCTTCTCCTGGGATAATCAAAGGTGTGTTCACCCCCCCCCCCCCCCACATACACACACCCCTCCTCACGACCTCCATTGTGCACAAAGAATATTCATAACTCATTCATCCACAATTGAAGCACCTAGAAAAAGCCAAAGAGCGCAGCTTTCCATTACATGGACAACAATCGCTAAAGCGCTCCGGAATAGCAGCCTGGAGATGGCGCGCTCGACATTCCAGTCACGGAAAACCACCTGATGTTTCTCACTGATTTAGCTTGAGTGATGGATTTCCCCTTGATAGGGGATTTCCCCTTGATAGGCGGACAGGCCGGTGGGCGAGCGGGTGTTTATGATAATTATCGTGTGTGAGGGGTGGGCATGTGAGTGTGTGGGTGTGTGGGTGTGGGGGGGGGGGGGAGGGGGGGGGGGGTCATAAGGAGACAGGCACACTCGGGCAAAACAAGGCTGACCTACTATAGTTCAAGGATGAGGAGTGCTATTCGCAGGTGTTTGGATGTTTGTAGTCCTGTGTACAAGTGAAGTGTGTATGAAGTTGCTTTGTAATTGGCTGATGCTTCTTTTCTTTGTTTCTGTTACGATCGGTGGTTTAAAAACCACTAGCCTGCCTGCCTGTCAGTCAGGATAGCTGTGATCACGTGTCAGCCGAGCCTGTCAGTCAGGATAGCTGTGATCACGTGTCAGGCAGTATTTCCGGTGTAAACAAACCAGGCCAGCAGCTATCAGCAACTGGACAGACATGTGCAGGACCGTACCCGGATCAAGTAGCGTTTGCTGAACTGAGCGATGCGATTTCCCATGACTCACAGCCATGCCACTCCGGAGTGAATTTGCAAGAAGCCCGTCATGGTGACGGCAGGAGAGAGGACGTGAGTGTGGATGCGAGGCAAACTCCTGAAAATGATGCCAACTGCTCCATTGGCTGCTCTACCGGCGGAGCTGAAGCAAGAGCGGAGGGTGACGTAACCCTTCCTGATGGAATGACAGCAATAGAAGCTCATGGGTTTCTCTTCTTGTCTCCCAAGCACAGCAACGTCACCGGTGAGGGACCTAATGCGACTGCAAGTATGTTCAGCTCGGTGTATCCGACAGCTCAACAAAGCAAGCGCAGCAAACTTGGACTAACTACTCGCGGTTCAGAAACACTGCCTGCGACTCCGACAGTCTACACCAACATGAACGTCGCGAGTGATTTCGCCAGCTCTAGCTTGTGCTCTTCAGTTGCTTGACTAGACACGTGCCTGTCAGCCAGCAACCCAGGCTGCCGTTTCTGCTGTAATGTCCCCAGTCTACAGCCTGGACTGTCAGCATGCCTGTGTTTTCTACAATCACGGACTCTTCTCAATTTAATTGTGCTGTGTGTTGCTCTTATGTATCGTATCTTTCCGGAAAAATTTAACTTGAATAATGAGAATTATCAGCCAAAGGCTATGCATACACTCATGAGCAGTGTAACGGTGCGTTTACTCTAAGAACGTTTTGTTTTGATGATGTTCACTGTATTGTTGGAGTGCATGAATGTATTATAGTGACAGACAAAGATAATCAAGGTATTTCACTTTTAAAACTAGTCCAAGTGAAAGGTTTCCTACTTGTGAGAACTCTCCAACTCCACTGCAGTTTTTTTCTTTCCACTTGAAAATACATCCATTCCCGAACAGGCTCCTCGCTGCAAAAAATGACTTGACTTGAAGAAATACTGCCCATTGGGCATCATCACTGACAATGATGAGGAAGGGGAGGCAAGCATGAACTATAAAAGCTGTAGTATCACATTTGGAGGTGATGTCGTAAAAGGACAAATGGGGAAGAAAGTGAAAGAATTACCGTATACAGAGTGCGAAAAGGCATCCAATAGTCAATGCATGTTGAATGCACCCGTGAGGGGACTGAATCAGAGCCAATTTATAATAATTACTTTTTACGGATTGATATGATGCCTGCACACACCTCACTATAGACTGGTAAAGTGTACTGTTGTTGCTGAATGTCGCGAGTGCTGTTTAATCTCAGGAAATGTTGTCATAATAATAAATCGGTCTCTGCTTTTCTATAATAATAATAATAATAATAAGGCCACCCAGAATTAATTCGTTGTTTCCGGTCACCCGACCGACCGTCTTTTTTCACCCGACCGCAAAATGTTTTTTTTATAGTGGATGCAAATGTACATGATATGACTAGACTATGTACTAACATGTACACACGCGCCTAATATAGTAATAATAGCTAGCAGTGAAAGACATCGACCTCAGAAGCAGCCAAATAAAATAACAGGATGAAGCGCTTGGTGACGCTGTTGTCTTCCGATCCGCAATCGGTCCTGAAACAGCATCAGCTCCGCCACCGCGTCGCTCTTTGACAGACGTTTTCAAGGTGAGAGCTGCTCCTCAGACTCGTTTGCCAACGAGGCCAAGGTCTGGTCCTGGAGGGGACCTGGGTCTGATGGGACAATGACTGCGCTGGATCGTCTACAGTCATGATTTGATCGACTGGCTTGATGGACAAAAGCTATTCGATATGCACAATTGTACATGTATGCACATATATATATTATATGTTAGGTACCGCCTCCCGTACCTTTTCTAGCTGGCCTGCATGGACTTGCGTAGATCTACGCACCTTTTGTCTCCTTTTGCTCCGTTGGCCTGGGTAGCTACTTGCGCGCCCATATTTGCCATAGCTACCCAGGCCCTTTATCTTGCCGTTTAGACTTGATCTCTCTCTCTCTCTTTCCTCACTCTTCAATGTAGTCGTTTCGTTCGTCTTGGTCTCTTGTCTCGTCGTCTACTAGTATAATAAATGTCGTTCCCACTAACTTGTTCCCGTTGTAATGTCTGGATAATGTGTCGTCAGTCGTCCTGTTTCGAACTCAACATTGGCGCCCGATTATTGATCGACCCACGACCCTGAGATCATCCCATGCCCAGCCGTCCTCAACCACCATTCGTCTCGTCTATGTCAACCTCGTCTCGTCCATGTCAGTCTCGTCTCTCCTACGCCAACCTCGTCTCGTCTCTATCAACCTCGTCTCTCCTACGCCAACCTTACCTCGTCTATTCTCGTTCAAGCCATGCAGGTCAGCTACCTTTCTCTCTTTCTTTTTTTTGTATGCTTCTTCGTCAAATTTATTTTCGTGAATTTTTTTGTAGTGTGTGCGCGCGCGCGTGTGTTCGTAAAACATAACCAAGTTAGGGGTCCGATCATGGTGAGCCACGCTCTAATTTTTGGATGTTTAGCAAAAGTGTAACTAGGCTGTATTAGCCGTGCAAAATACTAGTAATTCACGTTCCTCGTCAAACTCCAATAGTTATTACACACAATAAGTAGTACAGGAATGATGTGTACGAGTGCATTTTTAGTACACACTTTCGTGAGATCCATGCGCGCGTGCAGTATGTGTGTGTGTGTGTGTGTTTTCTCCTCCAGTTCATTTTTTAATCTTTTTCTCTCTTTTTTTTTTCTCTCCGCGAGGACGCGGGATTTTTTTCATGGAGGGGTTGTGTCATGCAGGTTCTCACACGCAACGGGAACACTTCGTGGTAGTAAAATAGATATTTCGCAAACAACAAAAAGACAACTCTTTCTCTTCCTTTCGAAGAACCGAACTTGCCGAGCCTCATCGAAAGCAAACTCTGAAAAAGCCCTACACTAGTACGGGATTCAGCGCAAAAAATAATCATGAGTCATTATACAATGCATGCAGTGTAGCTGTGAAAACTGGTGAATAAAGAATGCCGTAGGTTGGCAGCACGTGACCCGTCGTACCGCAGTACGCGACGGCGTCGCGGCTTAGAAATGAAAGGAAACACTGCGAGAAAAGACAAAACGAAAATACATGTCCCTTTGTCAAAACTTAGAAGAAACAAACAAAATGCGACCAAGAATCATTTTGAGAGTCAACGTCAATACTCTTGTGCAGGTGTGCAAATTCTTGTCTTGCACTGTGCAACGCAAGAAACAAACAACCTACTAAATAACTCGTGAACTAACTGTAGGCTAAATCACTACATGTACGCGAAATTGCGTTCCAAAATAAACTGAATTTCTGAGCCATTCCATATTTCACATCATGAGGGAAATATTGAATAAATAGTAAATACATCATAAAAAAAACACATGGCCACGACGGCCTTCCCAACAGGTTGTATGTTAGGTACCGCCTCCCGTACCTTTTCTAGCTGGCCTGCATGGACTTGCGTACGCACCTTTTGTCTCCTTTTGCTCCGTTGGCCTGGGTAGCTACTTGCGCGCCCATATTTGCCATAGCTACCCAGGCCCTTTATCTTGCCGTTTAGACTTGATCTCTCTCTCTCTCTCTTTCCTCACTCTTCAATGTAGTCACCTCTGGTAGTTTCCAGAAACTGACCGTGGTTGGTCCCCTGGGGGAGGGAAAAAGACCCAAGTGCCATCAGTATGTGTGGCACGTGTTGTGAGCTGCCTTTGGAGTGAAAAACTTGTCAGCGCCTTCTAGGTTCAGCCTGGTCCCATAGCTCAGTGGTTAGAGCATTGCTCATGACAAGCAGGGTCCCAGGTTCGAGTCCTGGTGGGTCTGGCGTTTTTTTCTCTTTTCAGGCAGTTCACTTCCCCGACTGATCCTTTGAATTTGAAGTTCTCCCAATCCTTTCCAAATTTAATCACTTTCTTTCACCTCTGGTAGTTTCCAGAAACTGACCGTGGTTGGTCCCCTGGGGGAGGGAAAAAGACCCAAGTGCCATCAGTATGTGTGGCACGTGTTGTGAGCTGCCTTTGGAGTGAAAAACTTGTCAGCGCCTTCTAGGTTCAGCCTGGTCCCATAGCTCAGTGGTTAGAGCATTGCTCATGACAAGCAGGGTCCCAGGTTCGAGTCCTGGTGGGTCTGGCGTTTTTTTCTCTTTTCAGGCAGTTCACTTCCCCGACTGATCCTTTGAATTTGAAGTTCTCCCAATCCTTTCCAAATAATAATAATAATAATAATAATAATTGAAAGGATTGGGAGTAGGCCTTGACGGATTATGCTAGCATAATTTTTCGCATAATTCCTACCAGAATCGAATAATCGCATAATTCGAGGCAAATTGCATACGAATCGCATAAAATTGTAATAATCCGCCTGTTCGCATCAAATTCCATACAGTTCCACATAAGGGATGCTCTGGAGGAAAAGGAAGTGTACCCTACCATGGATAGGCCTTGACGGATTATGCTAGCATAATTTTTCGCATAATTCCTACCAGAATCGAATAATCGCATAATTCGAGGCAAATTGCATACGAATCGCATAAAATTGTAATAATCCGCCTGTTCGCATCAAATTCCATACAGTTGTACATGTTCTACAAGTACAAGTACAAGTAGATGCACTAGGAAGTTGTAGGTTTACGACTCCCTTGATGATGTCCAGTCCACTACAATCAGTGATGGCAAGAGTTCATAACTCTTGGTGATGGTCGTAGCCAGGTCGGACGATGCGTTGACCCCGTTGAACTTTTGCTACTACAGTACAACGCCCTCTACAAAAAAATTCCCTTGTTATTTTGCACAGAACCATTTTTGCATTAGCAGCATATGTGAGCATAATGCGGCATAATATGGTAACTTTTACAATAAAAATAGCATAATTCTGCAATTTTTTCAGCAATGCGAAAAGCATAATTTCACGAAAATATTAGCATAATCCGTCAAGGCCTAATTGGGAGAACTTCAAATTCAAAGGATCAGTTGGGGAAGCGAACTGCCTGAAAAGAGAAAAAATCGCCAGACCCATCAGGACTCGAACCCGGGACCTTGCTTGTCATGAGCAATGCTCTAATCACTGAGCTATGGGACCGGGCTGACCCTAGAAGGCACTGACAAGTTTTTTCACCCCAAAGGCAGCTCACAACACATGCCACACATACTGATGGCACTTGGGTCTTTCTCCCTCCCCCAGGGGACCAACCATGGTCAGTTTCTGGACCCTACCAGAAGTGAAAGAGAGTGATTTCACTTCTGGTAGGGTCCAGAAATTGACCGTGGTTGGTCCCCTGGGGGAGGGAGAAATACCCAAGTGTAGAGGCGGCAGATATGATCCTCGGGAAAAGAAGCAGGGGAACATCTGTGCTCCTTGTTCGACGGGTGTGTGACAGAGGTGTAACGAGGTCATGAAGAAGCACACTATAATTATTATGAATTACACGAAAGGTTAACAGGCCTGTACATCGGCACGTCGTCCCTACATCCCCTGTGTCTTGTCTTGTGTTTGTCTCCACATGTCTCTTTGTAGGGCTGTGTTCCCAATAAAAAAAATAAAATAAAAAATAAAAAAAAACAGGAGGAGTTTGCGGCAATACATTGGTTGCAGGGGTTGAATGCTGAGGCGTTCATAAAGAGGGGCAGTTGCAGACAGGAAGGGAGCAGAGCAGACAACACGCACAGCTCGCTTGAGAAGTTTCTCAAGACGATCACGTTGTGCAGAGGATAGGGAAGAGGGAAAGCTGTTGCATGCATATTGGAATGTGGGTAAAATTATACATCTCAAGTAGGTTAAGCGGCATGGCATTGGGAGGCACTGCCTGTGGCGGAAGAGAATGGCAATCTTTGAGGACACTGTCTTGGCTATATGGTCAACCATTGTGTTCCATTTCAGGTCGTCATCGATGTGCAAGCCCAGGTACTTGGCGCTTGCTGGAGGAGTGTAGCTGCACAGTGCACATTCAATGTCTTGTCGTCATGACGATTATCATTATTATTTATTAAAAGCATGTCCGCGTAGGTGGCGGGGGTGCCACTTTCGCTTATGCCATTCAGGATTCATGTCTGAAGAGTAATGACGATTGGCAGGAATAAACAATATTAATTTTGTGTTTTTCGACTATTCAGGATTAGGTTGCGCTCACCAAGCCAGTTGCTGAGATGGGTGATGGCTGAAGACAGGTTGTGTGACAGCACTCCTTCCTGCTATCGTGTAGCATGATATCGTCTGCGAATTGGGTTACCTGGGCGGCAAACTGATCCACTTCACTGGCCACATCCCTGA